TGCTCCTTGGGGTCCAGCACGGGTTAGGGGGCTGTCCGCGCAGCACTGACCGGTCTGCTTACAGTTGGGTCTTTCTGGAGTGTGCTTTGCCTCTCTTTCCAGGCCTGAGTGGTGAGGGGCTCACATGCATTCGTGCATTCTCTACCCACGTGTGCATTCAGTGCACACGCACCGCTCCTCACTCTCTCAGACTCTGTGCCCGTCAACGTTGGGGCACATGGATGACTTAGAAATAGACTCAGAATCGACCTACCCCCAACTCAGGTTACAGTCCCGGAAGCAAATTGCTCTAACGAGAGGAGAAGCAAAGGACAGAGGGATCGAAGAGGACCTGGGCTCGCGCTGAGCCAGGAGGAGTTAAGGAAGCCTTTCTGGACTCTGGGCCGACCCAGGGCAGCGCAGGCAGGGGACACAGCAGGTGCATGGATGTGCGGGGATGTGTGAGAAGGCAGGGGGATTTGGGGAACCATGCAGAGTTCATCTTGAATGAAGTTGGGGTGCGGGGTGTTGGGCTGGGGCATGGTGTAAGGGCTGGGAGGTCAGGGAGAAGAGGTGGAGCGGAGAGCTGGGGGTCAGGCCTTGAATGTCAGGCGAGGAGAAGGTTCTTCTCAGGAGCACCCCTGGGGGCCCACGGAGCAGTGTAAGCAGGGGCTGAGGAGCCTTTTGTTTTAGGAAGATCATTCCGGAAGCCAGTGTAGAAGATCGTTGCAGGGGTCAGGGCATGAGTGCCGCGGGTGTTGCGATGGCCCAGGTGAGAGGTAATGAGCATGAACCTTGACCTTGCAGCTCAGCAGAGCTCAGTGTTGGGAACACTCTGGGCAGGGAGGGAGCATATGGGTCAGCCCTGCTCCCCGGGCCGAGTTACCAGGCTGGGCCAGAGCCTGGTTGGGGTTCAGTTGCCCCATCCCTGCTCCGTGGAGACTGCCTGCATGTTCGGGAGTATGAGGAGGGGGTTCCCAGTGTCTTCTCCCCCAGGCCCATCTGTCTGAACCCCCCCAGCGGCACCCAACCCTCCCCTTGGAGTTAGGAGGACGCCCCTGTTTTGGCGTTTGGTGAAAGTCTTCTGATCTTAGCCACACAGTCCTTCCTCTTGCTCTTGGGCCGCTGGGGAGAGGAAACGTAAAGTCACTCAGGGAGCCATTGGAGCAGGTGATGTGGCTCCCACGTGCAGGAGGGTGGGGGTGGGGCAGGCAGGATGAGCGGGGCTGAGCCTGGGGCAGGCGACCAGGGCCCTGCCCCCAGTTCCCAGCTCTTTCTGTGCAGCTGAAACTGGCAGCTTCCACCTCTGAGGAACGCTCCGGCTGAGGCAGGGCTGTGGGGCCCAGGGCCCTGGAAAGCTGCAGGCCAAGTGGGGTCTCATTTAGCCAGCTGCACATTTGATTAATCACCCTCGTCCTGGGAGCCTGCTAATCTGGAAGCTGGCTTTGTGGCTGACTCCTCCGCTCGCCTGCTGGCGGCTGCCGGAGCTGGAGCCTGGGCTGGTGCTGGAGCTGTGGCAGGGGCTGGGGCTGAGGCAGGAGTTGTAACAGGAGCTAGGGCTGGGACTGAGGCTGGGGCTGGGGCTGAAGCAGGGGCTGGGGCTGGGCAGGGACTGGGGCAGGGGCTGGGACTGGGACTGGGACTGGGACTGGGGAAGGGGCTGGTGCTTGGCAGGGGCTGGGGCTGGGACTGGGACTGGGGAAGGGGATGGGGCTGGGGTCAGGTACTGGGGCAGGGGCAGGGGCTGGAGCTGGGGGTGGGACTGGGGAAGGGGCTGGTGCTTGGCAGGGGCTGGGGCTGGGACTGGGACTGGGGAAGGGGCTGGGGCTGGGGCTGGGGTCAGGGACTGGGGCAGGGGCTGGGGCTGGGGGTGGGCTGGGACTGGGGCAGGGACTGGGACTAGGGCTGAGCTGGGGCTGGGGCTGGGGCAGGGGCTGGGCTGGGGCGGAGACTGGTGCTGGGCTGGGGCTGGGACTAGGGCTGAGCTGGGGCTGGGGCTGGGCTGGGGCAGGGGCTGGGCCTGGGGCTGGGGCTGGGGCTGGGGCAGGGGCTGGGGCAGGGGCAGGGAGGTCAGTTTCTGCCTGTGCTGGCTCCACACTCACCTTGTTAACACAAGCTCCTTCGTGCCCAGGTTGGTGGCCTCACCAGCCCTGCCACTCGGATGTGCGGCTCAGGCTTTACAGAGGAGAGACTAAGCCTGAGGAAACATGGGTCAGTCGAGGCCTCAGGACACTTCTCACCAGTACCCTGTGCACACCCCTCTTTTCCAAACCCCCTAATCCCCTCTGCCCAGCCCCTGACTCGTAGCAGCCTTGTCTGTCTCGATGACTGCCTCCTTCGGGAAGCATTGCCCGGGCCATCCAGGAGCTTCACTCCTGACCCCCCCATCAGGTGAGGTCACGGGAAGAGCCCTCTGCAGAATTGGCGTATCAGAGGGACTAGATCTAAACATTGAGTAAGTGACTTTATCCTTCTGAGCATCAGTCCCTTGTCTGTGAAGGGGGCCTCTTCTATGCAGCCCGGGGGTCACAGTGGTCTAAAGGGGGCCACGGGGCACAGGGAAGCCGTAAAGCACCTGCTGGCCCAAGGACAGCCTCTCCTGCGTACAGGACTGCGCCCTCGCTCCTGGACTGGCTCTTACCTCCCTTCTAACATTCTACTTCGGCCCGGGCACATACCCGTGGGAATCCCGCACACGAACACTTCAACCACGCCCTTCTGACTCCCTTCCTCGGAGGCCTGGGGTCCTTGGGGAAGCCTCAGATACATTTTTAGGGGAACTCATAGTCAAGTTCAGAAGAGATAGCCTTATCAGGCCCCAGGTCTGGACTCTAGATCTGAGCTTGGGTTCAGGCTGGAGGTGAGGCCTCTACATTGCTTATCCATGTCCCAGACCCCAGTCCAGCCACTACTGTGCCATCCCCAGGCCCAGGACACCTTGCCTGAGGAGCAGAAAAGGCAGAGGGATGGAGTGAGGGGGGCTTCAGTGTGGTAGAGGGCAACCTTCTACTGGACAGGTAGGAATATTTAAGGCCCCAAATACACAGGGCAGCTCAGAAAGGCTGGGACTCCTGGCGCCAAGGGGCTCCTTATGCCTGCAGAACCTTGGGGGCTCAGACAGAGCTGCGGACTTGCTGAGCTCTCAGGGGGCGTGGCTCTCAAGGGGCGTGGCTCTCAGAGGGGCGTGGCATGAGGCCTCCATTTCTCAGCCTCCCAGTGGATATAGGGAGCTTTACTGCTCTTTGGGGTTTGGGCTTAGGTCCCTTTCTGAGGTTCCCAAGGCAGATGGGGAGGGTGAGGGAAAGGGGGTGGGAGATTGAGGGCATTTGAGAAGGAAGGGAAGGGGCCTTTCCTGACCCTTGGGACCCAGAGCTGACCTGCGAGGACAGAGGTTCTGAAAATGGAGGTTCCTGGGGAAGAGTCAAAACCTCATGGGAGAGCTGGCCTCAGTGTTGATTGTCACCCTCCCGCAGGCCACAGTGAGTCTGAAAGAGGGAAGTGGGAGGGAGAACAGATAAAGGTGTGCAGGCTGTGTGACCAGCTGTGTGACCAGCTGTGTGACCAGGCTGGTGCAGGGTGAGCAGGAGGGGTGGCGGGACATGGGCCTGGGGACAGGACAGCTGTATGGAGGGACTTGCTTTCCAGGCTCGGAATTTGATGATGGGATGCCACTGGAGTGCCAGCTCTTGAAAGATTAATCTGGAGAATCCAGAGGCAGAGAAAGTCCACAGACCAAGGCCAATGCTGTTATGCCCAAGTGTCATAAACCCCCAAAGACTACCAGGGAGCCAAATCCGATGCAATTGCAGAAAGCCTGTATTTATTTTGGACTAGTCCGAGCTCAGTCCCACTTACACCAAGGAGGGCATGGCGAGAAAGAGGAAGAACTTAACATATCAATGGTTTTATAGGGAGGGTGGTGCTGCTACCTTGGCTGACCTGATTGGTTGGGTTAGGCCTAGGGTCCATTTACCAGAAGCTGGACCAGCCCCACCCTGCCCTCTCACCCTACCCTGCTCTCTCACCCCACTTGCCCTCTCCTCTCACCCCGCCTGCCCTCTTACCTGGCCCTTCCCCCTCACCCCACCCTGCCCTCTCAATGCCAAGGAAGACGCTATTCTGAGAAGCCAGGATGGAGTTCTGTACTTGGGTAGCATGCGCCTGTGTGTCGGAGGAGAGGGGCTTGTTTCATTGGTTTATTCAATTGACAAATATTGAGAAGCACTGTTCTAGGCCTGGGGCACCCATGGAAAACACAGACCCTTTCTTCCCCCCCCCCCCAACTCCTCCACCCCGTGAACAACACGGAAATGTCCCCCATTATGGAGTCTCGAGAAGGGAGGAGAAGGAGGGGTTGAGAGAAACATTGATGTGAGACAGACACATCAATTCGTTGCCTCCCACACTCACCCCTACGAGAGTTGGGGATTGAATTTGAGATTAGGAGGCAGACCCCACACCTCCTGTGACTGATTGAATGTGGGGACAAAAGAGGGAAAGGGTTGTGGCCAACGCCCAGCGGGGAGCAGAAGTGGTGCCTTCCTGAGGTGGGGCCTCAGGAATAGACAGCGCTGGGATTCTCGCTGCGGTGTGGTGAGGGTGTGCAGCCCAGAAGCGTCCAGGCGGATGTCCAGGAGGAGCAGGAGATCTGGGTCAAACAGTTAGAAGAGGGGGCTGGACTAGAGACAGACGGGGCAGTTGTCTGCAGGTAAGTAAGTATATAGGCCAGGGAAGCAGCTGCTGTATGGAGGTGGGGAGAGAGGAAGTGCCCAAGAAGAAGGCCCAGGAGGAAGGCCCAGTCCCCGCCCCCTGTTGTCCCCAGGCAATGATGGGCATGCTTTGTCTTGCATAAAGAACCCTGAGCTAAGTGGGACGGGGCCTGAGGGTCTGGGAGAGATGCCTGCCCACCTTCAGCTCAAGAGGGGGACATTGAATGGAGGGGCAGAAGCACCATAGTGACCTCCCAGTGTCTGGCCAGCAGTGATGGGGGTGCCTGCTCATGGTTCTCTCTTTTTCTGCAGGAGAAGGGAGCGCGCCCTGCACATCCAGCATCCTGCAGGAGAAGCAGAGTGAGTCACCCCTCTGCCCCCTGCCCCCCATCTTTCCTTTCCTTGGATGGGTCCAAGCTCCACCGGCCTGGGGCCTCTCTCATCCACTCACAGCCCAGGGGGTGGTAGGGCCTTCATCCCCATGCCTGTGGGCAGGATCAGAGGGCCTGGGACGGCTCTCTGCCCCATGAGCTGAGCCTGGCTCCTCCAGGCTGCCTTCTGCCTGTGTTTTCTCCGGGAAAGGAGCAGAGGATTCGGCCAGGGAAGACTTGGCAAAGATGGCCATTTGCTGACAAAGTAACCTCAGGACATAGTGCCCGGAGGAGTGGGGTGACCTTGTCTTTGTTCTGGGCAGCACTGAGTTTCCCCTGAGGCTGGGGGCAGGGAGAGGAGCCCGTGTGTGTCTGGGAGGAGGATGTATGCTCAGAACTTCCCTTGCTTCTCTCCCCTGCTGTTGTGATGTGTGGTTGCAGCTTTGGGGCTGTGGGGAGGAAAAGTAACTTCCCTTCCATTCTTGTAGCTGGACTACAAGATGACATGGACATGAAACAGGTTAACAGGAAAAAATGACCACGTTGATTACATAGGTACTCATAGGGGCTCCCTAAGCACACATTGGACTGAGGAGATGGAGGCAGGGGTCTGGGACGTCAAACCAGGGAGGCAATTCACAGGTAGATGAGGCATGTTTGCTGGGCCCAGGAGGCCTCAGAGGGCACTGTGCCAGCTCCTCCCTGTCCCACACTCAGTTCGTATTGTGCTGGGTGACAGCCTCTTCCTGTGGGCAGGTTCTCTACCTGATTCCTTTAGTAAGGTGAGGGGGAGGTAAAGACTTTTTCTGAGTCTTTTGTTTCTTAAAAATAACCAGCTTAAAATAATACCTCAAAAGCCATATTTTGGGGTGGCAAATTCTACTTTTCTTCGGGGGGAGGGGGCCTCAGTCTGCTCTGCCCATCCCTTCCGCAGGTGCAAGCCTTCTGTGAGGCCTCCCTCCAACCTCCTCCGTCCCAGTGCAGGCTGGGTACCTGCCATGCCAGCTGCCCAGGGCCTGCTGCGGCTAGAGGAGGTGTGCAGGCCTCCTGAGGAGCTAGCTTGCTTTCTTTCTTTTTTCTTTTTTCTCTTTTCTCTTTTTTTAATATATCTTATTGATTTTTTACAGAGAGGAAGAGATAGGGATAGGGAGTTAGAAACATGAGAGAGAATCATCGATCAGCTGCCTCTTGCACACCCCCCACTGGGGATGTGCCCGCAATCAAGGCACATGCCCTTGACCAGAATCGAACCTGGGACCTTTCCGTCTGCAGGCTGATGTTCTATCCACTGAGCCAAACTGGTTTCGGCTCCTGAGGAGCTTTCTGAGGTCTACCATGCAATGGCGATGCGAGACAGAGCCCTCGGAGCTGGGAGGCATAGCGTCTGTCAGGGGCACCCCCTGGACTCAGGCACTTGGGGGGTGGGGAGGGGAGGGGAGGGCAGTGCAGGGAGGGTCACTTTCCCTTTCCTGTGTCCTCACCGGATGTAAGGGGCTGCCCTCAGCTAGGTGAGGGGAGCGGCGTTAAAATGTACGCCGGAATTTTAACTTATAGAGGCGACTGGGTGCCCAGTCAGAGAGATCAATGCCATGAAAAACCTTATTATTTACAGTTCACAAGTGGAGGGGCCACGCCACGCCACACCACGCCACGCCACGCCACGCAGGGCCACAGGGGAGGCAGACAGAGGGTTGGTCGGGGGGCAGAAGGAGGGGAAAGCCTGTGTGGAACCTCTTGTGTTTTCCGAAGGAAGGAAAGCAGGGCAGAGGAAACCGCTTAGGGCTGGCTTGTTCCAAACGTGTCTGGGGCTCCGGCCTCCTGGGCTATAATCTCTAGTCAGCTACCTAGCCCTGGGTCATTTAGGGCAGGCGATTATGGGCGTGGTGTGAGAGTTAAAGCAAGTGCATTGATTGGTTTGCATATGACAGGCAAAGGCCAGTTTACTGTGTCCAGGAATTGGCACCTCCAAGATGTCAAAACAACATAAAATGAAAAGAACATGATTAATCTGGGGGTGTTGGGAACCTGAGAGAGGAAAAGGGCCCAGATCATTCCTTCTGGGCCTCTAGGACCGGAAACCACAGCCAAACCACAACGCCAATCGAATCGACCAGATGTTTGGGGTCTTCTAGAACTGGCTAAGAAACATGTGTGTATAAGTTTATTTTTTCACCGCAAGTATAGATTGTGGTCAGAATTATGCTGCTTAAGGATATTATTTTTTAAAACATACTTTTATTGATTTCAGAGAGGAAGGCAGAGAGATAGAAACATCAATAATGAAAGAGACTCATCGATCAGCTGCCTCCTGCATGCCCCCTACTGGGGACCAGGCCTGGGACCAGGCACAAAACCCGGGCATGTGCCTTTGATGGGAATCAAACCCAAACCCTTCAGTCTGCAGGCTGATGCTCTATCCACTGAGCCAAACCAGTTGGGGCTGGGATATTCCTATTTAGTGGAGAATAACAGTAGGTGATGGAAGAATTCCGGAGCTGAAATGCTCGCAGAAGTCAGTGATTCCCAGGACAAACCTGTTTTGACAGTGAAAAAATAGCAACACTGTTAACGTGTTTCTCCACTCAATTGGGAGGACTGTGTTTTATTCCACAATTGCATCCTGCCTACAAATTTGTGCATTCAAATAATTCCTCTTTTACAAAATGATGGAGGTAATCGACGGTGATTTGTTCATTTTGAATCTCCAAAATTGGCAAAATAAAAGTCCGAGACCCTTAATAAAAACAGAATTACAGCAAATGCCTGATGTTTACAATGTGATTTGCCATGTACTGTCACGTCTATGTATATTATTGTAATTTCCACTGGGTTTTCAAAACCTCACTAAAAGCAAGGTGGGAAGTGCCACCAATTGCCCTGGGCCAGGAACCAGAAGATCTGGGGCTGGGTTCAATCAGATGGCCTTATACCCTCACATCTGAGCTTTAATGGGATTGACCTTGGGAATGAGGCCCAGTTCCTTTATTTGCTCGCTGTGCCTCTTTGGACAAGTTATCTAACATCTCTGAGCCTCCGTTTGCTCAGTTGTGGGAAGATGACCACAATGACTACTTCCTAGATTTGCTGATGGGGTGGAGGTAGTATGTATATGTGGGTGCCAAGATCTGCACCTCCCACAGAGGGCGTTATTGGCGGGGTGCCTTCTGTGGCCCCTCCTGTAACTGGTAGAAGCGGAGCTCTTCCATTTCCTGAGGCTCCCGCGGGAGGATGAGATGTCGGGGAAGTTTTATCGATGATGTAGGATGAAAGGGGTTCCCCTCCAGGGTCCAGCCTCCCTCGGTCCTGCTTTGGACAGAGTCCAGCCGTGTCTTCACAGGGCAAGGATTAAAGCCACTGCCCAGAGTTCCCGCTCCACACTAAAGCACGGTCCCGTCTAGCATCTGGCTAGCTTAGCCTGTGCTCCCAGCTGCAGTGTGTTGGGCGTGGGGCCCACAAGGCTATGGGCCATGTGGTTGCTAAGGCCATGTGATGGGCTAGTGCGCGAGTGAGTGCAGGTCACAGAGCAAGAGAGTGCAAGGAAGCGGGAGAGAAGCAAGAGAGAATAAGAGAGAGAGAGAGAGAGAGAGAGAGAGAGAGAATTCCTTTGTCTGGGGATTAGGTATTTCCAAATCCTCAGGGGGCATGCATTGGGGTCTCCCCTCCTAGCCAATGATCTTTCTTCCCAGGTTACACTGACAGGCAAGCACCTTCCCTACTTCACCCTGACCTCATGGCCCATGTGCCCATTTCCCCTCTGACCCCTGCCCCCAGGGGTCTGCAGGGAAGGGAATGGTGGTAGTTCCCTGGGGAGTGTGAAGCTGCCCAGATGACCCTGCTGATCATGTCTGGCTTCCCCATGGCGTTCGTTCTATTATGAATATCAGCCAGCTAATTATGACAGCGACAGAAGCACTTAATGGCTCTCACCTGGTATTGTATTGGCTTTTGGATGAGCCCTGGCAACTGGCATGCCTGGCACAGGTGTGGGGATGGAGCTCATCACCTCAAGGAGCTGTCTCTTTGACATTCTGCTGGTCCTGTGGCTGTCTCAGCCGTTGCTGGCTGTTTCCTCATGAGTCTGAGTCCCAGGGAGCCCTCCGGTACCTGCCACAGGAAGTGTGAATGCAGGGAAAGAGGCCTGCCCTGGGCCATCTGCCGTGGCCTTGGCCGGGGGAGTGTCCTAGAACCATCCCTCCTTCGTGGCTACCAGGCGGCCCCAGCCTTCAGCACGCAGCTGCTGTGCTTCTTATTTGGAACCAGACATGAGAAGTCCGGGAGCCATTGTGTGTGGGGCTGGATAGGGGCAAAGGAGAGAGAGCCTGGGTGGTGGTCCGAGACCTGGGTCCCTCCCACTGACATGCTGTGCAGCCTCAGCTCCTGCTTGGGGCCCGCCTTCCGTCCCGCCTCTGGCGCCCCCTGTACTTGGAGTCCCTCAGCTGTTCTGGTTTTCTGTTGCTGCCTCTTTGTTTCCTGGTTCCTATGGTCTGCATGTTTCCGTTCAGTCCTGTCCACGCCACTCAACGGCACAGCGGACGCTGACACAGTGCTTCCAGCCCGGCCACCACCACGGTGCTGGGTGTGAGCCCTCAAGGCACGAAGCATCTGCTCCTCGAACCTCATTCCTGAGCCTCCATCCAAAGGAAATGGTGCCGTTTTTCACAAACCCCAGCTAGAAACACGGGGCCCCACTAGACCTCTTCATCTCTGTCACCTTCCAGAGTGAGATCGGAACCCTGCGGGCATCCATGCTACCTCCAGCAGATCTCTCCGCGCCTCCACCCCTCTCTGACCCCCGTCCCTCCTCTAGCTGAGGCCACCACAATCTCTCCCTTTAGCCGGTCCATCCTCCCTGTGCTGCCTCCCTGCCTCCAGTCTCTCCCACTCCAGTGTCCGGGAGACCTTCACAGGAGGCAGATCTGTCCTTGTGGTCCCTGCCGCCCTCCTGCGACTCCTCGCCAGCCAAGCATGAGCCTCACCCCTGCTGGACCC